TTTGTCTGGTACATTTTTTTCGAGTACAGGCCTTAGTGTGGAAAATAAAACTTTTTTTTCAATTTAGCAATCAAACCGTCATGCCAAACACTGTCGAATGCATTTTCTATGCCTAGAAGAGCAACTCCAGTTGAGCAGCCTTTAGATTTGTTTGATCGAATAAAATTGGTAACTCTTAAAAGTTGATCAGTAGTTGAATGCTTATGGCAAAATCCAAACTACTCATCTGCAAAAATTGAGTTCGTATTGATGTGAAGCATCATTGCGATCAACATTATCTTTTCAAAAAGTTCTCTTATTGAAGAAAGCAAACTTATTGGACGGATTTTTAGCTGGATTTTTATCCGGCTTCAAAATTGGAACTACTTTTGCTTTTTTCCATTTATCAGGAAAGTATGCCAAATGGAAACATCTGTTAAATAATGTTACCAAGAAAGACAAGGTATTTTCTGGGAGTTTTTTTATGAGGATATATATATAGAAAAATCACCTGGAGCTTTCATATTTTGAAACTTTTTTAGCTGTTGATCTTAATTTGTCCAAATGAGTCCCACAGGACCCTTTAAGAGAAAATATTCAGATAATCCCGAGCAACCTGATTCTCAATAGGACTAGTAAGACCCAAACTGAAATTATGGGAACTCTCGAATAGGTTAGCAAGTTTCTGAGCTTATTCCAAATTTATGATCAAAATTTTACCATCTTCTTTAGGCGCTTGAATAGGCTTTTGAGGTTTTTTTCAAAATTTTTGTGAGTTTCCAAAAGGCCAATAAAAACATTATATTCAAAAGGTTTTTCCTCCTTTCATGGCAGGATCGCGTGTTCGTTGATATTGTCTCTTACGGACATTTTTCAGATACATCAAGAGCTGAAGATCGTCGTCTATTATAATTGAAGTGAATTTAACCTCGCATTTTGGTACTGAGGCAGCCAATCGCGTTGTCCCATTGTATAAGAAGCAATGGAACAAAGAAAACCAAAACAATGCATTTTCTCGGCTTGCTGATTTGTTCTTTGGGACGGATTTACCATGAGCGGAAGTGCAATAGCAGCATAGGTAACTCCATTTACTTACTGTACATTGTTAGCAGCAAGTATAGATGAGGAATTTGAAGCAGGGAAAATGTGTGTACATACGGGTACGAATGTAGAATTTGTTCGTCGACGGCTGTTGTTAACAGCAGAGGAAATAGTATCTTTTCGGAAAAGTGGAGCGTTTCCTACCTGTCGCTTAGAACGAGATTTTAGGATCGCTTTGCGAGCCTTACATACCCAAAACTTAAATTTGTGATTTTCACCACAATTTTAGCATTTAAATTTCTTATGATCTTCCTTCACACGATAGTTGCTTTTTGCGTGAGAGGAATCACCGCAATACATGCATTTAGCCGGCATGTAGCAATTTAGCTGGGTGATGTTTTTTAGAAATTCCCTCCTGTCTTCCTGAAGTGTTCTCACTTCACTAGGACATGGAACATAAGGTTAGGTTTTCTAAGGCCTTAAGGTTGTTTAGTTCAGTCAAGTCTAGAACTAAATAAAAATCATTAAAAATCCCGTTGCGCGAATGGCCAGGACGGGATTTCATTTTCATTTTGGTTATTTGGTTTCACTCAACTCCAAGTAAATTTGTCAATTCATCTATGATCTGATCCTGGGATTCACCACTGGGCAGACTTTTCGACAACTTTGAACAGACGTTCAGTTTTGGTGTCGTAAGTGAAAAGTGTGGGTTGCTTCTTAGTGAGACGTTTGAATCCGTCCAAGGCTTCATCCAATATACGGCATTCACCTCGACGGCCAATTCGAAGTGAAAACTTGATTTTCACGAAGCTCCAAAGTTCCGTGCGAAGAGCATGGAAATCGGAAGTGGTTATCACAATCGAAGGAACTTTTTTGTTCTTGGCATTAAGTCTGGAATGTTTGATTTGCCTGGATGATGGATCATTCTCATCGTCCGGGAGCATTAGGATGGATCATCACGATCATTTTTTTCGTCCGCCATCGACAGAATCGTTCCGGAACCACAGCGAGCGCTCGCTGGACTGCAGTCGTCGTAGTCACCATCGTCGTCAAGTGTATGTTCCAGAAAATCAATCACAACACCTCACAACCCAAGTAACCAAAAGTTCTGATAAAAGGCTATTTGTGGCTTAAGCAGCTTGGTTGGAGGTGGTCTATAGAATTCTAAGCAGCCTCATTTTTAAGTCGTTATAAGAACTTGAAAGTTCCGGTATCATAATTGAAGAGCGTTCTAAGCAGCTTCTGGCGGAACTTGAACGGAACTTTTAGAAAATAAATTAAAAAAGGTTTTTGTCATCTACACCAATTCTATATTTAGAGCTCGCACTTTTATGAAAGTTATTTCTAGAGGCAGGTATTAATGTGTATAGATGTATAAGGATTAGTAGTAGAATTGGAGCTGTTTGAAGAATTAAACCCAGTCCTTCTGCGTAAGAGCCCCAGCACGAACCGCTGCGTCATCTGAGATATACTAAAATGAGCTGCTGTCCCGCCTACTGTTGGAGTTTTCAGTGCCAGCTGACTGACTTGAATACGAAACACAACACTCTGATGAATTTTAAATTGGTGTTTACCCGAATGGTATTCCAACTCACGTGTGGCGCAGTAGTTAGCGTTCGTAGATCGTTTGCCGAATACACGGGTTCGAATCCAGGAAATTCCTTTTAATTTTTTTATGTTTGGATAGAAAGTTGATGCACTGCATAAATATAAGAATTATGATATATTCGGGCCACTGATCATTTCATATTTAAGTACATTAAATTTTATTACTAATAAAGACTTGTGCGGATTGCTTCATTTGGCTTGAAAGTTCTATCGGGACTTTATTCGAACTTTATGGAACTTGAAAGTTCTGTCGGAACTTTATTTGAACTTTATTTGAACTTTATGGAACTTGAAAGTTCTGCCAGGACTTTATTCGAACTTTATGGAGCTTGAAGGTTCGGTCGGAACTTTATTTGAACTTTACGGAACTTGAGAGTGATTTTAATCGTTGAATGCGGGACTTTTGGTTACTTGGGGTTTCCCTGTTTTCCGGAACTTTCCCTTCATAATCGCTTAGAATTTTTCTAATGGGCGAAATTCTGGCGAGTTTGGAGGATTTGCCTCCTTCGGCACTAAAAAAAGTAGAAGGGTCTATGCCTAGGGGCACGAACGGAAGCTTGACGTAGGACCGCTAGTGGACGGAATAAATGTGAAGAGCATTAAGTTCTTTTAATTGATCAAATCAGGCATAACATTTGATAACGGCACAAAAGCATTTGTAAACAAACATTCTAAGGCCCTTTACACGCGAACTAAAGTACGCCCACGCAAACCAATACCACTTACGGAAAGGTGATAGTTGCCTCTATTCGATGATGTTGTTGGTTTGCGTGGGCGTACTTTGGTTCGCGTGTAAAGGGCCTTAGAAGGTTTGTTTACAAATGCTTTTGTGCCGTTATCAAATGTTATGCCTGAAATATCTATTATCTCAACTCTTCCCGTTTTTGAATTGTAGGTGATCCAAATTTGTAGTAATCTTTTTCAAAAAGAAAGTTGATTACGAGAATCAATCAAAATCACTTGCACCCCTGCTTCCAAGTTTGTGTGGTCGTTCCCAACAAACAATTTGAGCTGAATAAGCTATTTTTTAGCTTAAGAAGCATATTTGTGCCTGAATAAGCTGTTACTCAGCTTGCAATTTTTGTTGGGTTGGGGGCTTGTGGTTCTGAATATGCACAAACAAGCATAGATAAATGTGTTTATTCCACTTCTCGCGCGAGTCGAGATGACCATTCTCGTTTCCTTCTCGCGTGACAATTCTCACTCTATTCCGAATGTCGACTCGCACGACGCGAGTTGTTCATTTTGCATCGAGAGGAAGGATGAATCGACAGCGAAGTGCTGTTCATTTATAGAAACGTCAAACTGAAAAAGTTCATCGCTCAAGCTATGATAAGGGCGTATGCAGTATTTTCTAACAAAACAGTAATTTGATTTTGGAATAAATATCAGTTTTTTTCAATAAATAAAATCATAGATACGGATAAAAACAATAGAGCATACGTTTTTCTATCATTTGGGAATTATAACTTAAGGTTCTAAGTAACTTTCTTTGCCATTTCGATAGCACGACCGGTTATGTAATTTGGTCCTTGTTTGAGAGAGGTGGAGGTTTGTTGTTGTTAATTCAAGGATCCGTTTTTTTTTTGTGAATCTACCAATCGTGGTCAAACCCGGTGTTTCGTGGATTTTTTTTTCTAATAGTTGTGAGTTTTCAGTTTTTTGGTTTTCACAATGAGTAGTTATGAGTTTTGGTTTAGTGATGAGGAGGATGAAATCGAGGATTTACATTTTGAAACGGTGCGAGTTGAGCGTCGCAGATTGAGGGATTTGAGTAATCCCTTGGATATGCCATCAAATTTGTGAGTACTTGCTGAAATCTATAGATATCTCAATGCTTAAAACTATTTTCGATTACAGATTTTTAAATTACTTTCGTGTATCGAAAGAGCTTTTCAGCTATTTATTGAACATTGTGGATGGCAAATTAGGAGGAACCAAATCTTCATCTGTGCAGCCGATGTTAAAGCTCTCAGCTGCGTTGAGATTCTTCGCTGAAGGGAGCTATCAGAAAGGTGTTGGCAACGATTTCTTTGCTGGAATGGCACAACCCACACTATCGAAGGCATTATCCGCTGTTATCGATGTGTTCGAAGCAGAAATTTGTCCAGCAGCAATAAAATTCCCTGTTTCAGAAGTCGAAAAGCGTGAAATCAAGCACAGCTTTTACGAAAAAACTGGATTTCCCGGCGTAATAGGTTGCGTGGATGGTACGCATGTCAGGATTGTTAAGCCTGTTGGTGATATTCAGCACCTATATTACAACAGAAAAGGCTTTCATAGTTTGAACGTTATGCTTGTATGAATGTTTAATTGCTGAAAAAACTTGAATTACTTATGTATCATGATTTCAGGTCTGCGATTATAAACAGATGATCCGTTACGTGGATGCAAACAGTCCCGGTGCCAATCACGACTCGTTTATTTGGAATAATAATCCATTAGATGTTGAGTTGAGTCAGCAATACCAGAATGGAGAAAGAAATACTTGGCTTTTGGGTAAGCTTCGGTAATTGTGTGTGTCAAGCTAAATAAAACTAAACTTGGCTTTTTGTATTTGGTTTCAGGAGATGCAGGATACCCTTTAAAACCTTATTTGATTACACCATTCCGTAGTTCTGGCGATGCAAGGCAGACTAAATTCAACGAAATTCACTCTAAAACAAGGATGCTAATTGAGAGAACTATAGGAGTAATGAAGAATGTGTTTAGGTGCATCTTAGGAGCTCGTCAGCTGCACTACAAACCAGAAAAAGCTGCAAAAATTGTTAATGTATGCTGTGCTTTGCACAATTTGAGAAAACAATTTAATCTTCCCGATGATAACTTTGACGAGTTGATTGATATTCATCAAATTGAAGATAATGCACATGATGATGAAAATGATGCATCAGCAAACGAAATAAGACAGCAAATAATGTACTCTATCGCTTGAATACTGCATGAAGGAAATATAAATGTTGAAAAATAGTTAGTATAAAAGCCCACATTTTTGGAATCATAAACAAGAAAGAAGACAATATGGACTTCAAAAATACTCCAGGTTAATTTAAGGAGTTTCATCTGAGATTGTTTTATTTTTCGTGTCATTCACAGGCATCCTTGGGTTCATCCTTACCCCGCTCAGGCATCATGAGATATCGTTGCTGAGACGGATATCGTTGGTTTCTGCGGCTTGATTCCCTGCATCAGTCAGGGAATTCACCCACGCTAACTTATCCCGTCTACAGCAACGGTTAGCTTCCCTTTCGAGAGTCGAATACCGTTGAACGGTCTCGATCTTGACTTCTCGGCTCCTATTCCGCTGTCTCGCGGATTTTCAATCTTCGCCCCTTGACCTTCCTCCAGGTTTTATCAATGTTTTTTTTTATGATCGTGATTTTTAGCCGGAGGCTAGTTCATTAATAGGTTTTATCAATGATTAACTTTTTCATCTAAGTTTGCAGCTCATCCATAATATTTTCGCTTGTTTTCATAATGGCATTCTTGATGGCCGTCCATTGTTCTTCTACGCCACCACCATCTGAAATATTCACCGACGATCTCTTCCCAGCGGGAATTTAAGTCAGCGTATTTTAAATCGCAGCCAAAGTCTCCCCTCTTGCCGTTGAACCCACGCAATGCGTAGGCGAATCTCCCGAGCAAAGTAAAACAACAACGTGATGTCATCTAGAAAACAAGTTTTGTTATTCCAGATATCATTTTGTTTTCAGTTGTTATCGTATAACTAATATTGTTATCACCCTTGAATAATTTTGTTATCAGTTGATATCATGAAAAAATATGAATTGATGTAAGGTTAGTTCAAAACTTTAAATATTATGCGTATAGTAAGAAAAAAAAATACTGCCAGTCACATTTCAGTTATCAGCGTAAGGCTTTCATATCAAATAGGGGAAATGCAGGTAATGTCGGCCTAAGTGTTCCTAATTTGGGCCCATACATAAATTCAGCAATCGACTAAATTTTCAATAGCAACCAAAAATATCCATTAGTAACGTCCCAATAACGCGTTCATCTAGATAAAATTAATAAATAGCAGATTTTTAGCGACGGGCCCAATCTTAGATCCATAGGCCAACATTAGAGACATTTCCCCTATATAAAATAACTTGAAATTTGTTGAACAAAAAAATGCATAGATCACAGGATATGTTATCAAGATGTTTTCAATGATAACTAAATCAGTCATATTTGTGATATCGAAGGAGTATTATCATAGAGGTAACTCTAAGACCACTGGGTCCCGAAGAAAATCATTATTATTTTTGGCTCACTCAGTACCAGAACAACGGTCCCAAGCAGTCCCAAGCTATTTCACTCACCCCTGCATGTTCTGCATGAATCCACACACCCTTGATGTTATCTGTCAAACTTTCATAGCGAATCAAAACAAACATAGTGTAGTAATAGAATTTCAACTAGAATAGGGTACGTTAATCGTTTGCTTGGGACCAATAGGCTACTAAAGTGGTGAGCCAATTTAAAATCGTTAGTTTCGTATTGATTGTTGGTATTATTTTGTTACAATTTTGTTATGTTGACTGTTTATTCGACCACAATAATAACATTTACAGGATCCGGAGATAAAACAACATCAGAAAAAATCGGATTATTCGTACAAAACAGCATATCTCCTAAACCATATTTGAGTCGCCAAACGAAAGGTATTTAAATCCTATAATAATTTGAAGCGTTAAGCTGTTTTGTTTTTAATTCAAAACAATCAGTAGCTGAATATACGCGTATTTCTCAGCACAATTACACCAACCGATGGAAACTAACGATTTTAAATTGGCTCACTACTTGACTAGTCTATTGGTCCCAAGCAAATCGATTAACGTACTACAATATGTTTATTTTGATTCGCTATGAAAGTTTGACAGATAAAATGAGGGGTTCGTGGATCAATCAAGTTTTTGGCTCAGCTCTGGTACTTTTTTTTTTCTTTATTAGAGTGACTTTCAGCCACTGGCTGGTTCGTCACTTCGCTCTGGTACTATCTTCGGTCTCAAGCTAATCGATGCACCCCTCGAAACATAGAAAAATCCACCGCTCATTTATCTGTCAAACTTGCATGGCAAATCAAAACAAACATTGTGTAGTGCTAGAATTTTGACTAGAATGGGGTACGTTAATCGTTTTGCTTTGGACCAATAGACTAGTCAAGTAGTGAGGCAATTTAAAATCGTTAGTTTCCACTTTTATTGACCATGTTTGCTCTTATTTTGATTCTGTTTGTTGTGTTACTGATTTGAAAAAAAAAAAAATAACGGATCATGCAACTTTAGTAATTAATATTTTAGATCATGACAATAATAATGATGATTTAGTCGAGGGGCACGCAATACAAAGAACCGGTGGGTTGAAGTTAAAATGCAATTAAAAATACTTAAAGTAATTAATGCGTTTTGAAGTAGTACTGACGGTAATTAAAATTAAATATCCATACTTAATGCAATTAAAAGTATTGAAGATGTAATTAATGCACTTTAATTATGAAATATCGTCTGTAATTAATTGATTTAAAAAGTAGTTAATGTTCTACATTGTGTAATTAATGTAATTAAAGCAGTAGTTAATGGAATTAATTTAATTATAGCCTGCACTATAATATGCCGTGGCCTGTGTTGAGGAGATGAAAGTATAGAATTGATAGTTCCGTTAGAATACGGCAGTGTGAAAATTGCATATAAATAGTAGATAGCGAGCTAGGACAACTTTTAAGGAAGGTACAAATCGGATTTTTCATCTCTCTTTACCAAACTCCCCTTTGAAGAGGGATGGTGAGGGGTGTGTCCCTCCTCTGCCACCACTGGCACAAAGAATGAACGCCGACCGCTCAAGTACCAACGATGTGTTTGAAACAGTTTTACCGATTTTTAACGCACTTCAGTTGTTATTTGAAGGAAGGCATCCAGTCGTAGGTTTGGAAATTAGCATCTTCAACTAGACAAACTTAAGTTCAACGCAATGTCATCAAAAAAATAGCTAAAGATATGGAATTTTATGTCATCTGAAAAATGATTTGACCATTAGTAGTAAAATATGAAAATCTCTTAAATAAAGAAACAAAAAAGTAGTAAAATACAGATATACAAATCAATCATCTCCCCTAATCTCGAGGGGGACGACTCTATCTACAATGAAATAAAGATTGTGTTTTGCTGTGGCTAGCTGCGCGCACACTGAGTAGATAGAAAGAAGATTGATGACGATTCTGAAGATTTCTTACAAAAAGATGATGAGCGATGCAAGTTGATGCGACAAATGAAAGAAGATTTTTCGAAGATTGATTCGCTAGTGTGAGATTTTTTGAGCATCTAAACTTGAGATTTAGATGTGTCGCCCCCTCGGAGATTACAGCGTTTGCAGAATAAAATAATGCGGTTGTAATATGATTCACTTTCTCAACTTTGATGCTGGACGCTTTGCAATGGTTATCGGTGAAGCAAAGAATTGTGTACATGACAATGGTGTTCATTTTGAAACCCCACAATATCAATGTCACTCCGTCGTTTCTGATGTCGATCCCCATATCATCCTCACCCCCACCGACGTCGACAGAAAAACAGATCATCCTTCAACACCAAACGTAGAAAGAAGCCGGTATGAGGCCAGTGTCAGAAACGATAAAACGACGCTAATATAACCGGTTTTACTGTACTGGAACCCACGGACACCCACCCCGACGGCCGCTGGGATCTCGGACTCGGATCCAAACACCCACAGACACACAGATTGTGAGGTCATGTTTCTAAATGGCATATCTCCTCAACCACTGAGCTGAAGACTCAGAGACTCATGTCCACCGAATAACGAAACGAAGCAAGTTAATCGGAATTTGACCAAATAAACAAGACGGAAATATTGCACAAAAAACCTTCTTTCTCTAAAAGCGGACTAGTTATTTAAGCAAGTAGGTTGTTCAAATTATTTATTTATTTTTATTTAAAAAGTGGGTTTGTTTCGATATTGAGTCATATTTCTATTCCTGACACTCTTTGTATTTCAAAATTTCAAGTTTTTCCTTTTTGTACTTCAACAATTCAATTTTGAACTCCAATTCTGCTTGTCTATCTTTTGTTTTTTGTAGCATATATTCACGTCGTTGTTTCGCTTCTTCCTCTCGTAGTTTAAAGACTTTTCGGGAGTACCGTGCGCATTCTCCGGTATTCTCGACGATCTTTTTTAAATATTCCGTTTGTTGTTCCAGCAAGTTATACCGCAAATCCTTGCTATCCGGATGCCGTCGTTTGCGTTGCGCGGTACGAGAGCTGCTGTTGTTATTGTTGTTCTCAATATCTTCTACTACCTCGTCAACTGGGTCATCTACTTCAGTCAGGTTGGCGTAAGCTTCCATTGTACTGGAGAGAAGTGGCGGTCCCGGTGACGACAGAATATTACGCGGTTGACTGGGACCCGGTTCAGGACTTAGTGGTGATGTAACAGTCACAGGCAGACCAAATCTAGAACCTATAAATGAATGTATTGTACATATCCAAACTAATTTAGATTGCATATACATACCGGAATTATTTACCGTTTTGTCCAGGGTCAGCAGTTTAACAACTGCATCCTCAGTTGGTGATAACACCTTCATTGTGTTCGGCCCACCACCGGTAGCTATAGTCTCGCGATTGTTGTACGATAACTTTTGTTTGATTGTGTTTTTATAATCTGTCCAAACCTGCAAAGACAGAAAACATACTAAAAAATGAATAATACAGAAATATTAAAAGTAAGTTTTGCGAGGTTAAAGCACCGACAAACCGACATGAATGATCATAGCAAAAACTCCGTGTTCTTGGGAAATATTTAGCTAAGCCATGAACCCGCTCGGATCACTGCACATTTAAATCGGCCGTTTACGATTTTCGGGCATAAGTCAGAATTAAGTGTCATATCGGTTTGTCGGTGGCCAAAGGACACGAAACCCACATTCCCATTTATAAGTAAACCCTGACGGTGAAGTCTAGGTTATCAAGTGGAAAAGTAACAGCGTATGGGATTCAGAGTGCACGCAGCAGAAGGCAAACACATGCGGGTATTCTGAACAGAATATCCCTAATAAAAAATAACCATAAACGAACGATAACCCAAATCATTGAACTATTCCACAAATGGTTTGGATGATACCCACAACACGTCGTTAAGCAAATTAACCATACAATTTTTATTAGGGATGCTTTGTACGCCTTTTTAATAGAAACTAAGCGATCGATTCAACCTCTGGTGGTGAATATAAGAACGTCAAAAAGAGTGTTGTGAGCAGAATTGAATTTCCATATGAGTTTTCCTCCGTAACATGTTCAGGCCGTATCGCCGGAACCTGTGTACCAATTCCGGAAATATTCAATAGCGTTAAAATAATTTTATAGATCCTTTAAAACAATAACATGGATAAAAAATTTGTTAAAGCAAATGAGTGTGTTTGTCTCCATTTAAAACCATTTATTAATTTTATCGATGAATGATAATCTGACATAAACACTCAAGCATATTGCTTAATTAAAACTAAAAACCTGAATTTATCCACATATGGTGAGATTTGAACCTTACGAAGTAATACAACAAGTGGTATCGGGGGAAAAGGGCAAGGTGTCCAAGGAGGTTTTAGTGCGGTAAGAATCCCACACACAGTGTCACCGTGACCGTGCGCCCGGTCGTCAAGTGGTGGCATAATGGCCTTTTTAAAGGTTTCTTCCTTGCCAAAAAAAACACACACACACATGTTCCGATCTCGTCGAGCTGAGTAGAATGGTATGTCACTTGGCCCTGTGGGCCTCGGATCAAAAGTCGGGTTTTTAAGCGATTTGTAGCGAAGGGTAAACATAACTTTAATTCAAATGGAATCAGTTATTTTTAACAGGTCCCACTTTTTTGTGCTAAGAATATGCGCTTGTAATGTGTTTTGCTGCATCGAAAATACGTGACCAATCCGCTCCTCGGGGGTACCTTATACCAGCTTACATTTGAGAAACAGAGAGCAGAAAATTCCTCATGCACATAACGGTAAAATGTTTTCTATTAAAACGGCATGAACATAAATTTAATAACTTACCTTTTGCCAGCCCTTTACATCCCGAGTCGGGGGACCTAGACTGTTAAGTCTACCTGAAAAATCCGTCCAGAGAGCGTGGTACTTTTGCCGGTCCATTGCAGCTGCCTCGCAAAATTTTTGCCCTCTGGCAACCGACGGGTGTGCTTCCATCCGATCAACCAGGAAAGCAAACTGCTTTTGGTTTGTCACACGGATTCTGCAATAATATGATAAAAAAGTATTTTCAAAAGCATAAAAAATAAAACTTACCGCTTCACTTCCATTTTCTCGATTTTCAAACCTTCTCGATTGCTTCTGACGTATCGACAACACTCGCATGAAAACGTCATTCCGATCCGAGTTTTGTCGATATACATCGACTATGGGAATACACCGAAAGTTCATCGGAGTTCATTCGTATCGACAGTTGTCACTCTATTCGAGAACGGGAATTGGGTGACATAAACGAGTCGACTCGGTACGCGTCACGCGAGAAGCGGAATAAACACAAAATTCTTCATAGATAAATTCCAACTCTTTACTGATGTAAGCTTGATGACCCAGAAAAGGGCCGTTTTATTGAAGAGGACATCCATGGCCACTTACGCTTGGCGTGTTTAGTGTAGGTGACGAACACCTTCAGCACACCTCGTAGATCAGACCGGAGATACGTCAGACACTGCCACGGCGAGCCAGACGACGGATGGTGGTTATCTCGAAGAATTTGCGATGACGATTGGCACCTCCTTTGCCACGACCTGCCACGACCTACTGCTGCTTTTGCTGACCACGTCGTCCGAAGCGAAAATGAGCTGATACCAGACAGCAGCGCTGCTTTATATCTTTTTAGGTTAAAGCAGAATGATGTGCAACCAAGTGGTATAAAAGCTACAAAGACTCCTCCCATTATGAGTAGTTTGCTATCAAGTAGTGACACTGGCTATTTTCTTTTTGCGTACACGCAGCGTTGCCAGGTTGCCAGATTTATCTGGCACATCCAGAGAAATTTAAGCTCTGCCAGACAGATTTTTTGAGAAATCTGACAGCTTCCTGTGTTAATTTGCTGTGCCAGATTTTTGCCAGACATTTTTTTTCGGGTTTTGCCAGATTTTTTCAAAATAAGCCTGGCATCTCTGCGTACACGGCGAATGAGAACGCCCCAAATTTGAGTTTAGTTCACTCATAATCGCCAAAAGTGTAGGAACTCAGCGATGAGTAAATTTGTCTCATGATTTCGTGTGAAAAACCTAAAAAATCTGCCAGAAAATGAGGAAATTGACGAAAATTTTATTCAGTCTCGGAGTAGTACCAATAGACTGAGTGAATCCAATCTTTACTTTTCTCAAATTTGGGAATTTTTCCCTGGAAAATCCTGGGAAAACACGAGGAATATTTACTCATCGCTGAGTTCCTGCACTTATTTCTGAGATAACTAAACTCAAATTTGGGTCGTTCTCATTCGCCGTGATAGATATCGGCGCCGGTGGTTAGCGTGATTACCTCTCACCCCAGCAGGCCTGGGTATCGGCGTCATCGGCATGTTCTAAGGCATAACATCTTTGGGAGCTGTCTCCCTGGCGTCGGTAGCATTGGAGCTCAGTACGGAAAACAAATCTCGCATCAACAATAGAAAAGAGCCCATCAGCATTTGTAAACAAACCGTTCCAAAGCCCTTTACTCACAAAGCGAAGGCCACCCACACAAACCAACACCATCATCGGATAGGGGAAACTTCTACCTACAAGATGTTGGTGTTGGTTTGTGTGAGCGGCCTTCGATTTGTGAGGCTTTGGAACGGTTTGTTTACAAATGCTGATGGGCCCTATTCTATTGTTGATCCAGAAATGTTTTCTGCCGCCTTCGTCGAATTAGATGCTAGATTTGCTTCTTCCATCGAAAATATCCGGCCGTGGCGATTCAAAGTTGATCAGGGTTGATCAAAACAATTTGTATCCCTGCTTCCAGTTTGATTACATGAGCATTTTGTGTGGTCGGTGGTTCTGAATATGGACTAACAGGCAGGTGAATTCTATTCCTACTCTTTACTGTAATAAGCTTGGTGGCCCTGAAAAGAGCCGTTTTGTTTCCAATGTTGGTGATGATTTAACCTCTGAAACCAAACAGAGTGCGTCTCTGTCACTTCAAAAACGTAGATGACATCCATGGCCGCTTACGCTTGGCGTGTGTAGGTGACGATTAGTGTAGGTGACAGCATCACAGATCTCATTTTTCAGGAACACCTTCAGCACACCTCGTAAATCAAACCGGAGATACGTCAGACACCGCCACGGCGAGCCAGACGACGGATGGTGGTTATCTCGAAAAATTTGCGTTTGGTTCTGAACATGGCGATGAGTGTGTAAAATATTACGCAATTCCATCCTCCCTATTCGCACGCGCCCGAGGATCGGAAGCGAATGCCACTTCGACTTGTTTCGTCTACTTACTACTCTCTGACGACTGTGCTGGGGAAGCAGCATATGCATGTAGGTAATTGGTGGATTTGTTAGTTAATTCGACACTTTTGGACAATGCTGAATATTTACCAGTTTTTCAATAGAGTCTTGTTGAAAATCAACATTCGGAAGCATTGTTATCAATGCGTAGCCATATTTCTGATCGATTGGTGATAAAATTATTGAAATTGGACCAGGGGAAGCTGAGTTATTAACGTTCAAAATCTTTCTTAATTTGTTACATGTTCCCTTTTCGGTTTTCACAAAGTGTACCCCCATATAGAAATCAAAGACGTAGTCCTATGTCAAAAAACTTCGTTGGCTTCGTACCACTTCATCACCGGGTTCGCGTAATGGCACGATGCCAGATCTGGCTGAAACAGAGTGTCACTGTCGTGGGACCGGAGGAAGGACAGCAGGCGCTTCTGGAGGCATTCTTCTTTATATATTTGGCCGTTGAAGGTGTCGGTCGTTATGTACGGCTTGCTGAAATTGCCGCACCCACAGATCGCCTGCCACACTAAGTAATTCTTCCAGAACATCCAGGCGAGACCTGCCGACGAAAAATTCCAGACCGAGGATCTGCTTGGCGTCCGCTTTAATGTACGTCTCGTCGTCTATTACGATGCATTTCGAATGCACCAACCACTCGCGGTACAGCTTCCTGGCGCGGGATTTGGCCACCGTATTCTGTTTATCGCTTCGGTTAGGCGCCTTCCTTACCTCGAAGACACGAACCAGACGGAAGAATTGACGTTCTTGACCACGTCCCGAATGGAAAGGTTCGGATGGTGCTTGAAGTAATCCCTCACCTTCCATGCGCTCACGGGGTCGGTCGTCTTCGCTTTTCTTCCGCTACCAGCTCGCCGCTGGGTCGTTTGAGTCTCCTTGAACGATTTCATTACACGGGACCCGGTTGAATTGTCAATTCCAACTGTTTCGCGATCCACCTGTGGACTGGCTTGGATTTACCACGACCGCTCCCATAATTTTTTGTTGAAGCACTTCTTGCTTGGAAACCATCTCGATAAACACTTGACAGATTGTGGAGAGATTTTGTACATGTAAACATTTCACTCTAAACTAGTTTTACTCAAAGTTTCATCAATTTTTACCCATGCAATTAAAAGTTATACACAAAACGAAATGCAGCATTTTTTTCTAGTAGGTATAATCTTTAAATAAGAAAAGCTTGATTTCGATACCGTTTTACTTCCTAAGCCATTTTTTCTCCTTGTCTCCGCTTCCATCAGAAATCCAATTGTAGGGGGACAAGCTGTGAATTATGGCTTTCATTTTGGACTGGAGCAAATTGAATAAACTCGTTCAAAAATCAATATTCATCGCCTTCTACTCAAAAACCTTCCAATCACCAAAACATCAACAAGTTATCAAATATTTTCCAACGTCCTCCACCACCAGAAAAACGCCACTTCAACAGTTCTTCATCTCGTTTTCTTATTCCATTTCCCAATGGACCGTTTCACTGGCCATTTCAGACAAGGAAAAAAGGGATCACTTTTCAGCAATAATCCTTTTCGGTTCACCTTTTCCCTCCCCCACCGCCTTCTCACGAATCAGCGTCCCAGTAAATCAGTATTGGCGTGTTACATCAACATCCTCAAAAAAAAAATGGAAAACCATCTCCACTGATAAACAACAAAAACAACAACTGCGATAAAATGAGGAGCCAGAAAAATGATTTATAAACAAAAGCATAATCCTTCCTTCCTCCTTCTTCCTCGCAATGTCAGATTTCCCCCCTGAGTGGTGTCCGAAATCCGGGTCGGCTCAACAGCTTATCGTGAAACGCGATGGATGCGATTAGACGGTTTCTCTCTGCCTGCTTCCATGTCGCCCTCCTCCGCCCGGGCTCGCACTTTCCAGGAATCGAGGAGGGTGAAAAACTTGAGTAAAAGAAACAATTGTGTTTTCATCATTACATCTTAGGATGTTCTTGTTCGCCAGTTTGCCAGTCATTTACCGAGAGCAGAATGATTTCATTTTTCTTCCTCTGCCACTGACGATGTTTGATTTACCCTCCAAGTTTCTGCTTCTTTTTTTGGAGAGGACACAATTCAAATGAAACAGTAGATTAAATTTTCCAGTAGAGCAAATTTCTTAAATATTAATCACGGACATCATTATCCCATTTTTTTTTCGGTGCTGCAGAGTGGCGAACGTTGCTCGATTTCCACTCCAGAAATGCCCAGTAGAAATGGTTAGATTGGATCTGGGAAAACAAGGACCGGGAGCATAATACGATTTCTTTAAATTGTCGTTTTCCCCCCCTCAGTAAGTTCTTACCTTGGTGGAGGAAAGGAGAAAAAGTGATTAAATATTCATTCCCTTCTGTCTGTGTGTTTTGGTTTTTTGTAACGTCGCCAAATTATAAGCAAGGAACGAAGCAGAAGTTGTGTTAATTTTGGACGATTTCGCTTTGTCAAGCTGCGTTTACTTGGAGGGTGTTTTTTTGTGTGAAGGAACACTGATTGAAATTGGTAATTTGGCAGAAAAATTGTTATTTTGTTTTGTGCAATGTGTTAATGAGAATAATACGGGCGACATTGTAAATGAACTGAAATCGAACAAAACAACACATCGATCAACTTTCCTAAATCTTGAAAATGAAATAACTAACAGTCAAACATCTCGAACTCCATCGAACGAAATGAAGCACCTTGGCATCAATCAATTGATTTCCTTTTTCGCCAATTGTTATTCAAATGCTTTCATGCTGCTGTCATTTCTCATCCCTTGGAATTGATATAGCAAATCCAAGCCAATTATCCATTTCTCGGTGCCACCGGAAACGGACTTCTTTACTCATCCCCAAACACTAACTAGTAGCTTTGAATTTCACATCACTTCGAATCAATCCCCTACCTTAAAACCACAACGACGACGACGACGACAACGGTCGATACTTGTGTCCCTAGACGAAGCACATTCGATGGTAGACACGTCCCACATCCGGTACGTAGCAAGGTAGAGAAGTGACCGAGCCAGAACCGTTCGAACCATTCGTGCGGAACGCCAAAACGATGTGAGGAG